TGTCAGAACCTGTATGTCTTCTGACTTCTGCAGGTTTTAGCTTAAGCCAGGTGAGGGTTGGGCTGGAGCAGGATAGTGGTAAGAACTGAGGATAGGAGCCCTGAGGAATTTCATTTTACCCCCCCTGCTGGTAGATTTTGTCAGGGGGTTTGGACAAGCAATTTGAAATTTATAAAGAGGAATTCCTACTACTTCTCTTAAAAAAAAAAAAATCCTTGGTTTTGGCACCAGAAAAGAAACCTTTCCCAAAGTCTAGGCATTGGACATTTCAGTTGTGGCTGAGACATTACCTTCTTTTTTATCTTCTTCCTTCTCTCCTTTCACCCCTTTCTTCTCCCTCCTTTTTCTCCTATCCAGTCAGCTTCCCATTTCTTTCCTCACCTCTCCTTTAACTCCTGAAAACAAGAATGGGGAAAGGGTACCTTCAGACAACAGATTAGTAGATAGGTAATATAGATACTGGGGCTACAAGTCATAACTTGGAGCTTGACATTTTGGACATTACTTCTGGACCTCAGAACAATGGTTGATGGAACAGGTGCTTATTCATTTATTTGCTTATGTACAGTGTCGTCTAAGTATAACCTGCCAGGCTCTGTTTCAGATACTTGGGCTATTCCAGTTAATAAGACCCTAAACCTGCCAATAAAATTATAGTCTTATGGGTAAGACATAGCAACAGTAAACCTCCTCCCCTACTCCCTGATTCAAATCATTGAATTTTAAGGTGGGAAGAGCTTTAGAGTTTATTTGGTATTCCAGACCATGAAGTAAGTAAACATACAGGCTTTGGAATAAAGTAAAGCAGACCTGGGTTCAAATTCTAGCTCTGCTACTTACTAGCTGTTTGACCTTGAATGGCACACTTAGCCTTGCCCATGTTCAGTTACCTTAGGTATAAAATGGACCTGCCATCACCTCTTCACATTATGAGGGTTAACTGCACAACACCTAGCTCAGTGTCTGGTGCATAGTAGTAGCATGTGTTTTTCTGTCATTCTGCATGAATGCCTGGCTTAAGTCCTTGCTCCTTTGAAACTTCTAAGGCCATCTCCTGTCAGCCTAGTTTCTTTCTCCATTTTTATAACACATGGAGCACTCTTTGAACTGTTGGATCCTACCTAATATTATTAGTCGTCCTTTACAGGAAGTTCACAGAGTCCCACCCTGGAATGCAAGGAGGATAAGAACTGTTCTCATCCATCCCTGTGTCTTCTATAACCCTAACTTAGAGCTGTGACCATGACCAACCAGGCCCAGGAAGTAGTTTTTTGATTGATTGGCTAAGAAGGCTTCTATAAATAAACTTCTGAGTGTTTCGCAGTGAAAAAAAGAGCTATTGAAGACCTGGCCCAAAGTCTCCCATCCTAACTCTTCTCCCACTCCCCTTCTGTTACCACATTGATTCTCACAAAATCCCTGTCCTGTAATCAGGATGGGGATTGTATCTCCATTTTGTAGAAATCTGAGGCTCAGATTAGAACCCAGGTCCTTTGTTAGGTGATAGATCCAGAGTAAGGTAAGAGTAGCAGGAATGAGAACAGAAATCTTAACTGACTAGGTCTTCGTTCTCTGGAAACAGCAGGAATCTTTACAAGGAAGAAGGAACAGAAGAGTTGGTTTTGAGGCCTTACCTGATGATGAGGCCAGAGTCAGGTCTAGTCACAGTTAGAGATGATTTGATAATATGACAGAGTGGTGAGAAAGGGTTCAGAATAACTTCATAGATTTGCTAGGCCTTGAAGATTAAGAAGGATATGAATATGTACAAAATTCCAAGTGAGATAACAGCATGGACAAAAGGATGAGAGCTGGAAAGCCCATAATAGAGGTAAGACAGATGATGACTAGATGAAGGCATACCTAGAGAGCAAAGCTTAGGTGATTGGTAGCTATGGTATTTTTTCCTCTTTTTTTCTTAACTTTTTTTGAGCAGGAAAGTGGCCTTGGGAGCATTAGTCTGGCAGTGTAGGCCCAGTAGTTAGAGCACGGAGGGGTAGGAGATTAGTGAAAGAGAGACTGGGGAAGACACTACTGTAACAGTCCTTGTAATGTCAATAATTAAAAAAAAATTTTTTTTTCAACGTTTTTTATTTATTTTTGGGACAGAGAGAGACAGAGCATGAACGGGGGAGGGGCAGAGAGAGAGGGAGACACAGAATCGGAAACAGGCTCCAGGCTCTGAGCTATCAGCCCAGAGCCCGACACGGGGCTCGAACCCACGGACTGCGAGATCGTGACCTGGCTGAAGTCGGACGCTTAACCGACTGCGCCACCCAGGCGCCCCGTAATGTCAATAATTTTTAAGAAATATTCCAGCATTGCAGGCAAGAGATAGATCCTGAACCAAGAGGAGGTTGACACAGTAGGGAATAAAGAAGAACAGTTTAGATGTAGAGCTCTTAGCATGACAACAAAAAAACCATGAGGATTTGGCAATTGAGGGAATGGGGCATAAGGAAAGGAGAGGTTGGAGAGCATTAACATTTGGAGTCTCAGTACTTGGGAGAATGGTTATATCATTTGCTGAACTGCAGAGGCTGGGAACAAGGAGATGAGTTCAGTTTATCAACATGTTGAATTCGAGGTGCTAATAGTTTATTCCCCTTACTGCCCACCTCCTAGTGCCTCTGCCTTTGTCCTTTGATCTGGGCCTACAGAGATCCTTCAATTCCATGTATTTCCTGCTTTGTTTCCAGGCCTGGAACCCCTGAGAGATCCCTCCACTCATGTCTTGGAGCAACTGTTTCTCCCTGTCTGAAATAAGATGGTGCATGTAAGATGCTTAGCCTGGTAGCTACTCTTTCAAAGTGTGCATTAAATGTTAGTGGCTATTAAATGGCTGTTGTTGTGGTTGTCATCATAGCTTTGTGATCACAGTAGCTAGAGATTTAGAGAAACGTCTGGAACCACCTGGCTAAAGGACAGTCATTTAGCTGGTATTCAGTAAGAAGTCTGGACTGCAAGTAAATGGAGAGGATTTCAGGCTGGGTGTGAATGAGGGCTCTGAGCCATATCAGCTAGGACTAGGGTATGAGTATGTTTCCTGTCTTTTTCTTCTGTTTTTGAGAAGTTGGTATAATGTGGTTAAGAGGGCAGGGCAAGCCCCAGAGGTTGGACTTCCTGAGTTCAGGTCTCAACTCTACCTTCCTCCTCCTCCACCTCTTCTTCCGTCTGTCTGTCTGTCTGTCTGTCTTTCTTTCTTTCTTTCTTTCTTTCTTTCCTCCTTTCTTCCTTTCTTTCTTCCTTTCTTCCTTCCTTCCTTCCCTCCTTCCTTCCTTCCTTCCTTCCTTCCTTCCTTCCTTCCTTTCTTCTTTTTTTAAAGTTTATTTATTTATTTTGAAAGAGAGCATGAGTGGAGGAGGGGCAGAGAGAGAGAGTCCCAAGCAGGCTGTGTACTCTCAGTGCGGAACCTGACGTGGGGCTCAAGCCCACATACTGTGAGATCATGTCCTGAGCTGAAATCAAGAGTCAGACACTTAACCGACTGAGCCACCTCATTGCCCCTCAGCTCATTGCCCCTTCTGTTAGCTGTGTAACTTGGGCAAATTTACTTCTCCGTGCCTCAGTTTCCCCAGAAGTAAAATGGGGAAATAACAGCAATCTTCTGAGATTGTTGAAAATCCTTTATTTGTATTAATCTTTACAACAGTGCTGGACATGTGCTACTGTTCTCCACAACCCTAGAATCCCCTCTGTTCCACCTTCCAGGTAAATATACTCTTCCTTCCCACCCAACAGAGGAAGGGATGAGTAGAGGCCTGAAGCTAGTTGTAGAGTGCTTGAAAGTTTGTCCCAGCTGGGATCCAGGTTATCTAAGCCTGGAGGAACCTGGCCCAAGATGGAGGCAGAGAGTTGTCCAGATGACCTGAATTCATTTCCAGTTCTTTTTTTTCTTTTTTTTTTTTTTTAAGATTTTATTTTTATTTACTATTTATTTATTTATTTATTTATTTATTGGGAGCATAAGTTGGGGAGGGGCAGAAAGAGAGGGAAAGAGAAAAATCCCAAGAAGGCTGTGCACAGACAGTGCAGAGCCTGACTTGGGGCTTGATCTCATGAACTGAACCGTGAGATCATGACCTGACCTGAAATCAAGAGTTGGGTGCTTAACTGACTGAGCCACCCAGGTGCTCACATTTATTTATTTATTTTTAAAGATTTTATTTTTACGTAATCTCTACACTCCCAATGTAGGGCTTGAATTTACAACCCTGAGATCAAGAGTTGCATGCTCTACCGACTGAACCAGCCAGGCACCCCTCCATTCCCAGTTCTGCCACTGATTTACTTTGACCTTGGGCAAGTCATTTAACCTCTGAGCCACAGTTTTCTCATATATAAAATAGGGATCATAATTAATTCCTCCATATATACTTAATATCTCATTCTTTCCCTCACTACATTCTAGCTATATTGACTTTCTTATTCCTTTAAGCATAACAAGCTTATTCTTGCCTATTATTGCTGCAGGGTCTTTGCACTTGGTATTCTTCTCTGAAACAGTCTTTCCTCAGACCTTTGCAGATCTTACTTCCTCACTTCATTCAGGTCTTTTTTTTTTTTTTTTTTAATTCTGAGAGAGCATGAGAGGGGGAGGGGCAGAGAGAGAGGGACACACAGAATCCGAAGCAGGCTTCAGGCTCTGAGCTGTCAGCACAGAGCGTGATGTGGGGCTCAAACTCACAAACTGTGGGATCATGACCTGAGCTGAAGTCGGACACTTAACATACTGAGCCACCCAGGTGCCCCCATTCAGGTCTCTTTCTGGTGGTCACCCTTTGGAGGTTTCCCTGACTATTCTCACTCCTTGTCATTTTTTCCTCCCTTACTCTGGTTTATTTTTCCTTATAGCACTTAGCATGACCTAAAATAATGTATCATCAACCTATCTTTTGCAAAGATATAAGACGTGTGAGAGCAGGATCTTGGAATGCCTGCACTGACCTAAGTTCATCCCTATTCTGAGCAGGACCCTGACTGACTTCTCTCTTTTTTAGGTGAGCCCTATTCCCAAAGGCAGGTGGTGCTGACCCTGTAACCCAAAAGAGGAAATTGAAGGCTGGTGAGTGAGAGTCTTTGGCAACTCTGGGCAAGCTTGGGCCAAGATATAGGGTAACTAGTTTGGGGCTTATTTTTACCTTTAGTACAGGTAACTTATAGGCAATTGATCATTCTCCTACTCCATGTTTGAGATATTGGCATAGGCAGTTTCCTGTGCTGGGAGGAGAATTGAACTTGGCTCTCTTGGAATTGCCATAAGATGGTTTGGGATCATTTACCATGAATAACGCAAAGCAGGCTCAATTCTTTTTGGCTTCTGCCAGCTTTGTGTTGGGGGTTATCCTGAACCTGGCAGCTAAACTTTCTCCTATAAGCTCTCTTAACATGACCTTGTAGCCCTTAGAAACTTTCCTGATTTCAGTCTTGACTGGCCTACCAAGCCCATAGGTCAGCTTCAGAAACTAGTTTTATCAGTCCTGGAAAATGTGATTATAAGTGGTGAGGATGGAGTGAAAGAGTTGGGGCTGTGTGAAGGGGAAATCAGGGGAAACTTAAAGGAAAAACCAAAGATGCTGAGACAGGAAGGGAAATCAACACATTAAGAACCAGTTGTGTTATGGGTCTCATTTAATCTAGACAAAATTTATGGATGAGGGAATTGAGGCTCTGAAAGCTGAAATAAGTTGCCTGGAGTTCACATTTGGGAATCCATAAAGCTGATGTTAGAACCTGGTCAGTGTAAACACCATTGTTCTCCTCGACTTGGCAGACTTTCCTTGGGCTGTTAATCTCCCTGGAATCCTGATTTTTCTTATAAAGTTAAAAAAAGACCTCCTTAGGGATTCAGGAAGGAGATCCAGTTATTTGAGGGGCCCAGCAGGGAAGGCAGAAGTTTGGGGTTCCTTCTCAGTCAATGGCATTTCTAGTGAGGGGCCCAGGAGACTAAAAGTTGGAAAGAATCTTCATGCAGTTAAAGGCCCAGGCGCCAGCCATATGATTATAAGGGGGAGAAAATACCTATAACACATAATCGTAAACACTGGGATCAGCACAGATAGGGACCTGGAGAGCTGGGTTGGAGTTGGGAAACCTGGTTTTTTTCCTCTTCTCTCTCAACATCTGCCCTTGGACAATCTCTACTTCTGTATTTGTAAAATTGGACTGCTTCCCTGCACCCCCACATGTCTCTTGTGTGTACACCAACCCTGCAGGATGTCGTAGAGAATCAAATGAGAAATGCAAGTTGGAAAGCTTTGTAAATTGTAAAGCAGCATGACCGAAATGAGAGAAAGTGAGAATAAAGCACTATAAGTATCTCTGGCACCTCAGTTCCTGACCTGTTTGCCACCCCACTCCCCAAAGGAAAAAGGGAAGGTTTTCCTTTGGAGATTTGTGCTGTAAATCTTCTCCCATACCCTTCTCTTCCTCTCCTTCTTGTGCAGGTTCTGCCTGAAACTCAATCTTTCCACAAAGGAAGGGATTCCAAGGCACACAGACAAAGCCAGGCAGCATCGGCAGCATGATTTGCAGCATGGAGGCTACAGAATGCAGGTTTAAATGCACTCACACATCCTGGCTCTGATATTAAAGCACTTTTCAAGAGCCAATCCCCAGCATGTGTCTGCCCTCACTAACTAATTCCACTTAGATGTTGCCTTGTTTCCTACTGTCCTGTCAGAAGAGGAAGGCTATTCCTATTTTGGCCCTAAGATCTTTGTCCATCCCCACCTCTCACCCTCCAACTAGTGAAAAATGAACTTATGCTAGAGCCTCATAATCTTATCAGAGGCTATGCTCATCCAGTTTTCCCCACCATCTCTCTCATGCCTGTGGTCAGTGATACAGGCCACTCTCTTCACATTCTGTAACAGTGGACATTTTGTTCTCTGTTCTGTTTGCTGGAGGGTGCACAGAGAGGTCTGTCCCCAACCTGGTGCTTTTGGAATCCATATTAGCCAACCTTCTGTCCTATTCTGAATCTTCAGGCTCTTGATGGCACCTCTTTTTGTCTGGTTAACCTAAGTTCTGTAGCTTCTTGCTTTCCCATGGCCTGGTGCTAAGCTTGGACCTTACTGTTACACCAACTGCCTTGTGAAGAATTCCATTATTGATTGTTTCAAACTATGAATGATTCCACGTGATAAAGTGTCTAGCTTATTTATCTAATGTACTCAAGTTTCTATTAAAAACAAGTTTCGGGGCGTCTGGGTGGCGCAGTCGGTTAAGCGTCCAACTTCAGCCAGGTCACGATCTCGCGGTCCATGAGTTCGAGCCCCGCGTCAGGCTCTGGGCTGATGGCTCAGAGCCTGGAGCCTGTTTCCGATTCTGTGTCTCCCTCTCTCTCTGCCCCTCCCCCGTTCATGCTCTGTCTCTCTCTGTCCCAAAAATAAATAAATGTTGAAAAAAAAAAAATTAAAAAAAAAAAAAGTTTCAACTAAAAAAACAAGGAAGCAAAGCATTGTCATCCTTAAGCCCTTATACAGCACTAATTTACTCCTATTTTTATGTGTTGTTGTAACAGGCTTAGTCATCTGGTTTCTAAACTCCCATAAGATTCAAAGCAGCATATCAAAAAGGGGGGAAGAGCTGCTATATTAACAGCTAGAGGAGAGAGCTGAAAGGTAAGGATAAAAGAAGAATGATCAGAAAGAGAAGTTAAAATGAGTATGGAGGCCATTTAGTTTAGGGGCAGCAGTCCTACAGACATCTATGTACTTCAGTGAAGTGGAGCTAGGTAATTTTTAAGGTAGTTCTAGGTCCTCTTAAAGGCCAGGGGTATCAGAAAATGTTAAATTATAATGTCTGCTATGTTATCAGATGCTGTACTGAATCCTCTACATAAGTTGATTTCATTTTCATAGCAGCTTGGGAGGTAGGTGGTGATATTCTCATTTTAGAAATTACTGAGGCCTAGAGACAGACAGTGATTGGAAGAGCTAAGCTTAGAACCCAGAAGAACCCAGCTCCAGACAACCAAATTTTTTTCTATTATCCTATATTGGCTCTTCCCTGTGACCTAAAACCCTGGTCTTTCTCAGCCTCTTGAGCCAGTGATTTCTTCCTGCTCCCCTTTTATTCACTCTCCTTTATAAAACTTTATTTTTAAAGATATTCATTCATCCAGTGAGTATTGAGTGTCAGCCATGTGGCAGGCGCAGTTTTAAAATATAGCAGTGAAGAAAATAGTTTTCTTTCTTATAGTTTACATTCTAGTGGAGGAAAATAAACAAATGAATATGTATGAAGACAAAGCAGGGTAAGGGAATGGAGTGGGACTTCATGATGAGAAAAAGGCTTCTTGAGAAAATAAAATCTCTGCAGAAATATACAGGAACTTTAGTAGTGAGCTATGCTTAATATCTTGGGGAATAACATTCCAGGCATAGAGTACAGCAAGTTCAGAGACCCTAAAACAGGGAGCATGCTTACTGTGTTTGAGGAGCAAAAGGGAGCCAAGTGGCTAGAGGTGAAGTGACCAAGAGGGGGAGTGGAGTATGGAGAAGTCAAAAGGGTAGACAGGGACCCAGATCATATAGGGCTTTATTCTGAGTGAAATAGGAAGCCATTGGAGTGTTTTGAGTAGGGGAAAGATATAGTCTGACATTCATTAAAAACCTGATTGCACTTGGGGCGCCTGGGTGGCGCAGTCGGTTAAGCGTCCGACTTCAGCCAGGTCACGATCTTGCGGTCCGTGAGTTCGAGCCCCGCGTCAGGCTCTGGGCTGATGGCTCAGAGGCTGGAGCCTGTTTCCGATTCTGTGTGTCCCTCTCTCTCTGCCCCTCCCCCGTTCATGCTCTGTCTCTCTCTGTCCCAAAAATAAATAAACGTTGGAAAAAAAAAACCTGATTGCACCAGTTGAGACCTCCAGCACAATGTTGAATAGAATTGGTGAGAGCAAACACTCTTACCTTGTTCCCAATTTTAGGGGAGAAATTGTTTAGTCTTTCACTGTTAAGTGTAGTATTAGCTATAAAGTTTTTTGTTGATGCTATGTATTAGCTATAGATGATGTTTATCAGGCCAAGTGAGCTTCCTTCCATTACTAATTTACTGAGAGGTTTTTTACCATGGATGGATGTTGGATGTTATAGATTGTGTGTTTTTTGTTCTTTATTCTACTAACATGGCACACTACATCAGTTGATTTTTGGCCATCAAACTAACCTTGTATTCCAGAGTAAATCCCACTTGGTCAGAGTATATGATCTTTATTTATTTATTTATTTATCCCCCCCCCTCCCTTCTCAGAGTGTATGATCCTATTTAGATGGTGTTGGATTTGGATTGCAGTGTTTTTTTTTAAGTTTATTTATTTTGAGAGAGAGCAAGTGGGGGAGGGATAGAGAGAGAGAGAGAGGGAGAATGGGACTACCAAGCAGGCTTCACGCTGTCAGCGTAGAGCCTCATGAGGGGCTGGAACTAATGAACTATGAGATCATGATCTGAGCCGAGATTGGACGCTTAACTGACTGAGCCACCCAGGTGCCCCTTACATTGCTATTTTGTTGAAGATTTTTGTGTCTATATTCATAAGGATTATTTACTTTTTGAATGTGTTACAGAATTTGCCAGGGAGGCCAGTGTGGGCCTGGGCTTTTCTCTGTTGGAAGATTTTTAATTACTGATTTAATATGTGTGTGTGTGTGTGTGTGTGTGTGTGTGTGTTGTTGTTGTTGTTGTTGTGGGCCGACTCAGATTTTCTGTTTCTGTTTGAGTCACTTTTGATAATTTGTGCCTTTCTTGGAATGTTTTCATTTCATCTAAATTGACTAGTTTCTTGGTTTGTTTTTTTTTTTTTTTTTAATTTTTTTTTCAACGTTTTTTATTTATTTTTGGGACAGAGCGAGACAGAGCATGAACGGGGGAGGGGCAGAGAGAGAGGGAGACACAGAATCGGAAACAGGCTCCAGGCTCTGAGCCATCAGCCCAGAGCCCGACGCGGGGCTCGAACCCACGAACCGTGAGATCGTGACCTGGCTGAAGTCGGACGCTTAACCGACTGCGCCACCCAGGCGCCCCCGACTAGTTTCTTGGTTTAAAGTTGTTCATAGGATTCCTTTA